CACCCTCCGTGGATGTTAGCCAGGAGAGGACGACCTTCCAGGCTTTCAGCGGAAGGCTTAGGTTTAGGGAGTTTCAAGGTTTAGGGTTTCGGGTTTCGGGTTTAGGGTTTAGGGTTTAGGCTTAGGCTCAGGGAGTTGCAGGGTTTAGGAGGGATTCAAGGGCGGTTTAAGGTTCAGGGGTGTTGAAGGCGGGTTTGGGGATGTTCTTTGGGCTTGGGCGGCTCAGGTGTCGGGATATAGGGGTTCAGGGTTTAAGGGTTNNGTTTAGGGGTATAGGGTTTAGGGACCGCTTGAGTCTACCCCGAAACCCAGCCGAACACTGAGAGGCCAAGATCATGAGAATCGGGCTTCATGTGCGATTCAGTCTCTACCAGTTAGTGCGCGGAGAGCCGCGGGCAGCGGAGGCAGGAGGACGCACGAGAGTTAGCCGATTATGAGATTCAGTTTAACTGTAGTAGCAGTAGTAGTAGTAGTAGTAGTATACGGTATACGGTATTGTTCCGAGACCTTCAACTTCCGATGTGCACCTCGCAGGTGGCTGCGGCCACAATCGGATCAAAGACATGCACCGGCAGCTTCTTTCCTCACAGGGCAAGCTGAACTGCGGGGTGGGTTTGGGGATTTCGGCTCAAAACGGTGCTCCGGAAGGAGAGGTCTGCGGCATTCAATGTCTCCGGAAATCTTAGGAATCCCATTCTGTCCTCCACGCCCAGCAGGCTTATCGGGAGGACGCTGGCGCCTCCATCCAAACTGAAAGTAACACAAAGACGACAGCCCCTTGTTGACGGGTGGTGGTCAAGATTGCATGGGTTGATGTTTTGGCACCTGCAGCGACAGCTTTCCTGAAGCCTGACACGCACTGGGATCCTCGTCTTCACCCCGAGAAGGAGACCCTGGAAATACGGTGCCTTGAGACGGCCATTGACGGCGGGAGCTCTTCCAGCCTGCTCGGTGGGACCATTTCCGGGTTTCCTGCTCAGTAATAGGCCAGCGACTGCTAGTATCGTGATGGTCCCGAATCTGAGCAGCTATTCTCGTTTGCAGGGGCAGTCGTCCTTGTAACATTGCCATGGTCGCGGTGACGATGGCTGGTAGAAATGCTGCTCCTTCTGCCTCCACTGCTTCTACGACCTGCTTCTACTTAAGGTTTCGGGTTTAGTGCTAAGGGCTTAGGGTTTAGGNNGGCTTAGGGCTTAGGGCTTGGGATTTTAGGGGTGCTTCCTACAGTGCTACAGCTGCCAAGGCGACTGGAGCAGCCTGCCTTCGTGCATGCAGACGAGGAGAGACCGCGTGGCCCAGGCGACGCAGGGACAGGAGCAGCTGTCGAGTGTAGACTCCTGAGATAGGGTTTAGGGTTTAGGGTTTAGGGTTTAGGGTTTAGGGTTTAGGGTTTAGGGTTTAGGGTTTAGGAAGTCCTGAGATAGGAGCTTCCGAAAATTAGGGGTACCTTATTTTTGGGGTCCTTATAATAA